AGCCCTTAAAAGAGGAACAAAACATGCACTTTCTAGGAAGCGACGCAATCCAAACTCCATTCTGTTTTTAGGTGTGCCCCACGGTTGTGGCTGGCATCTTCACTTTTTGGACCCCCCTGCGCAGGTCCCTGCTGTCAGCCGTTTCCTGGCATTGTTGTGCAAATGATCCACACAAAGAAGTTCAGGTCATTCGTGCGATTACATTACAATGCCTGTGATGTCACTTGCCTCCCCCTGCAGAAACCCACACCTCAGAACTGAAGGAAGATGGAAGCGATGTAGGGAAACTCGGTCAGCCTAATCACACTGGGGAAATCCAGTTTGGGAACAGCTACATTTAGAAAAGATCGCAGGCAACCCTGGGGCAGGAATCAGCATGATTGGCAGCAAGCGCACCCCTGGTCCTAGTTCAACCATACGCCATTTCCCTAGGACCACCTGCGCTCCTCATAGGAGGACTTCCATTCACACCTGAGCCTGGGATTCTCACCTGGCAGAGATCTGCATGTATTGAGGTCAGTTGGTTGGTATTCATCTGCATTTTGTCTATAGCTTGCCTGAGAATACTGATTCCACGCAGGGGCTGTTGGAAAGCAAGAGGCCCCCATTAAGTCAATGTCTACCTTCATCAACACAAAAAAGGAAGAGGGGTTCAGTGACGTCTGGAGCAGCTTCAGAAGGTGGCCTGCTAGCTGAGCCTATCAGAAGGATGTACCCCCAAAAGAAGTAAAGGTATCTCAACAAGTTGGCAGATTAGGACAAACATTTATTTACTGTTATTTCTATATTTTATTTATACTCTACTGTTCTACTCCAGCGAGTATTCCTTAGCATTAATGGACAAGATTAAAAATCTAGTATTCCTCAAGATATCCTAGTTCAGCTGCCTGAGAAGCAAAGGACTGCACTGCATAACTCCCTTACCTGCTTCCGTTCCACGAGGGCATTTGTTAACTGATGGCACAGGCCAGCAACTAGAGAGAAGAAGAGAAGGAGGAATGAGACCATGCAAACTGGGGATATAAGAACATGGAAAATCACACATCGATGTGTACAGTTTGGTTGTGTCTACAGGTAGTTCCTTTTCAGTTAACATCAGTACTATGGTCAGCCATGCTCTTGGGAGGAAGTTAAGCTTTAAAGACATTAATGTTTTGTTAAATTACATTTGGAGCTCGTCTATTTATGAAAGTAAGACAATAAATAGAGCTCTGGACACACCATGTTTGGAACACAGCAAAAAAGGAAGTGCACATTCCTGGAAACTCAACTCTCAGCCTTTGAACTGGCTTTTTATTGATGGAAAGGAAAGGAAAGGTCACACAGTATGTTCAATTTCTTTTTTAAAACTGTCTTGCTGCAATTTGCTTCAAGGTTTTTATATTGTAGAAAAACAGATTAATTCTACTGACATTGTTTCTTATTGTTTCTATTATTTTTACTGTATTTTGTTCATAATTATGTTGTATTATTTAGTATTTACATATATACACAAACACTAAACATAAAACTGTATATATAATCTTATCTGAATTGTTTAAATTGTACTGACAAGCTCTGCATTTTTAAAAAAATATATTAATTTGTAACTTTTTAGAAAACCAGTAAACAATATTTTGGTGAAGGGGTTGCAGGATGGCAAAAGCCACTTACAAGTGTCTGTGGCATATCGAATGTGCTCTCCATTACAAGTGCTGATAAAAAGCTGGACCTGTGAGAATAACGTTTCGAAGTCAGGGACGCTGGGCATAGAAAACTTCACAAACCTAAAAGGAAGACAAAGCAGATGATGCAAACTCTCTCTTTCTGGGAGCCCCTGTAAGATCTCCCTAAACCCCGAGGGGCATATTCAGTGTGTTAGATGGTCAGGTTTGGGTTTTTTATTTTCATGCTATGGGCTGCCCAGAGTCACACTGTTTGAGTTGGGTGGACTTCTACCTCCAGTTAATAGGAGGGAGGGAGGGAGGGATGGGGCTTACTTTTGACACCACCTGACATTTCTTTAAATGGAATTAGGTTAATCAGAAGATTCACCGAAAAGAAGTGCCTCAAAATACGAGCCCATCCCTGTATTCAAGTCTAAAATAAAAACGTCCAATAAAGAAGTGTCACTTACAAAACAGCCAAGACACCCAGTGAATGTTCTTGGACATCGAGCGCGCCAAGCACTGTATCCAAATGGGAGAGGTTTTTTGCTAGCAGTTCTCCACTTTTGTTGATCAGTTCGCACAGCTGAGTCATTTGCCCTGAGATATGTGACAAGGTTGGAAAGTGAAAAAAAAAAAGGAGAGGAAGAAGAAGAAAGAAAAGTCTCTGATCTCTAGGCTTTCCCTATCGCTCTCTGCCCCATGAATGGCCAGCTCCGTAAACAGCAAATAGTACGAGAATAGTAATCTACATCATAAAAGCAAAGCTGTAAAACTAAAATAAGCCAGGAATTAAAAACATACAGTGGGAAAACCTTTCTCAATTTAAAATGCCCAAGAAACTAGAGGAAGGTGCCACAGAAGCAGCTCTTTAGAACAAAACAGCAGGCAGAATAGTGTAAAAGGGGCTCTAGGAATATTTTGGTTTCGACACTGTCTCCGCTCGACCAACCGATCTTCCCTCATGGGCCAAAGAGGAAAGCTTGAATTAAAGAAACCGTTTTCTGTCTCCCTTACAAGCACGTTTACAAGTGCTGGGACAGGAAAGGTTAGAAATGTCTGTCCCCAACACATAATACCATGGACAGCACCACAGCTGAACTCCCAGGATTTCGATCCCTGAATGAAAGCAATTCCAGTCTAGGATAAAGAGTCCTACCGTCTATATAAATCTCCTAAGAAAGCAGGCATTTAAAGACTCCGAAACAGCACACCCAGACTCTCATGTAAAAATACAGACTGTCTTCATAAATCTCTGCCAAGATATAACAGCCATAAAACTGAGGATCGCCGACTATTTTGAAAATTACGAAAACGGTCATTTGCGTTCCTAGAAACTACGTGAAATTAGAAAGCACCAAGGACAGATATCTTTAGAAGGATATAGTTAAACCTAAGACGCGCCGGCGGAAACAATGAAAGGGTCTGGATCCTTCCACCCGCAGGAACCTTCTGAGATTTGCCAGAGTAAATTTGGGGGCCTAGACCAACTTCCAACCTGACAAATATTGTTTTAAAAACAGAGACATTGGTGCAAGGATGTCAAGACCGGGAGCTTCCAGAACTGCCCCTGAACAGGACACGGAAATACCCATTAAAAATATAAAACCGGTGACTATAAGCAGAAAGCTACTCCAAAGAACGTGCATTTTTTTTTTATGCATTTACTTCAGGCTGCCGATGCCCGCAGGCCCTGCAAAGGATGCTTCAATGTTTTTAAAGTTTCGAAGTGTTTTTCCCACCACCCACCGCTCGGCTCTCTTTCAATAAAATCCAGCAAAAACTCAAGCTAGCTACATAGGAGGGATCCAGAAGGGCAAAGCCTGACTTGTTACCCTTTTGGGGGGTAAAAAGGGGGAAAGATGCCCGTCCTGGGCGAGGGACTGCCCCACAGAAGGCAACTGCCAGCCGCTGACCTTGGAAAAGCTAAGCAGATGGGGCCGGGGCTTGGAAAGGAGACCACCAAGCGATCCCAGGGCGGTTGCCTGGGAAGTTGAGCGCACATCCGGAAGCAGAGAGGGACAAACCACCAAGAGCCAAGCCCCACCCTGGCTCTCCATCCCGAGCCGCAGAGTCCGAGCCAGCCGGCGGCGGCTGCTTCGGGGGCGCCAGGTTGGGGAAGGGCTGCTCTGCTCCCTCCCCCGCCCGCGAGGGGTCTGCAAGCCAGGAGGCGGGGCCTCGATGCCCCGCTCCGCCGCAGACGGACAGGCGCGGCAGCCAACAGGCAGCTTCGGGAGGCGGGGTCCGCGCCGGCTCTCCCTTCCCGGCGGCCGCCCGGGCCGGAGCGGGCCGGCGGGCGGCTGCGGCCTCCACGTGCGCGCCCGGCCTGGCTCGCGGCTCGGCGTCTCACCTTGGGCCGAGAGCTGCCGGACGCTGTTGAC